GGAGCGGAGGAGGGGGGGGGGGGGGGGCAGTGGTTTTCGAGGGCCTTTTCCTGCCATGTCTCTCCTGGCAACCCCCATTAGTCGCAGGCCCAGGGAACACCCTACCGAGAAGTGGGGTGCACTCCTTGCTCCAGCCTCCTCAGGGTTGGGCCTGGGCGGGGGGGCTTTGTCCTGAGGACCGCGGTCTGTGTGCACAGCCTGTACCGGGGAGGGGGTGTGGGACCCCGCAGTGGTGACGTGCAGCTCCCTCTCCCCCTTCCAGGAGCTCCTGAGCCATTCCACCGACCGGCCTGAGAGGCAGCAGCTCAAAGAGGCACTGGAGGCCATGCAGGTGGGCAGGGAGACGAGGCAGAGAGAGCCAGGCGTGAGGCTGAGCATGCCCATGTTCCAGACACCAGTGGCCGGGATGCCACAGTTGTCACCTTGGCTTTTTCCTGGGTAGCAAGAGCAGGGCCAGGGTGGGTGTCACCGTGGGGGGAGGTGCTCAGACCGGCATGTGCCCAGGCGTCCTGGTCCCCGTCCTGGCAACAGCAGACTCCTGAGCCCCCACTCCTGCTTTCTGGCCTCTCCCGGGGCCATCAGCGAGCAGTCCCCTCCCCACCCAAGCCCCTACACGCACACGCACATACTGGCTGTACCCTGGGCCACCTGGCCTTGCCTCTCCCAGCCCGTCCCCTCTGCTGCCTGCCTCGATGGCCCTCTGTTCCGAGGGCCCCAGCCAACCACACTGTCCTCTTCCCGTCGTGCGGGTAAGCTCAGCCAGTCTCTGCTCTGCTCAGGAGTCGCCTGTGCTGTCTCTGCCCTGAGCCAGGCATGGGCTCCCCGCCCTGGCACGCAAGGCCTCCCTCAGGGCACTGCACCTGACTTTGCAGCTGTGTTTGCACGGACACCCCGGATTGTGGGCAGGCCTGACCACGCCCAGGCTCCTGACCACACCCTGTCCCTTCCCGCCCGGAATTTGCTTGGGCTCCTCCTCCCTGAACTCGCGCATCCTTGGTCTTTGCAGTGAGTGCGACCTGTCCAGGGAGGAGTGTCCCCTGGTTTGCTCCCTGTGGGCCGGCTTTTCTCTATAATGCTCCAGGCTCTGCACAGCCTCGTTTATGCCAGTCCCTCCCTGGCACAGGGCCCCCTGCTCCCCCTCTGCCTGGTCTTGACATCTGACCTCTGCACTTTGAGCCCCCTCCTTGTAACAAGCTCTTTCCTGGTGGGAGGGGCGCCTCCTGTTTCCCCAGCAGCTGCCCCTGGGACCCGCTCTCAGCAGTGTGGCTGAGCTGCTCCGAGCAGCCTTGTGCTCTTGGGGACACCTTGTTCTGAAAAGTGGCGTTCTTGTGCGGGGGTGAAGGAGGCAGGCCAGGCAGGGACCTTCTGGTCCTGGCCACACTGGGCAGAGCCCAGGAAGTGTTCGGTGAGCAGAGGCCTCCCTCCGTGAGGGCAGGCAGCAGGCAGGTCCAGGCAGGTCAGCTCGGGTTGGCTGGGTTGGTGGGAGGCTCAGCTGCGGGTCCTGTGCCCTCGGTTCACCTCTCCTCCCCCAGGCACCTGCTCCAGCCTGTTTGCGGGGAGCCCCTGTGTGGGGGCAACCCAGGTCCATCTGGAGTCCATCTTGGCTTGGGGTCGGCAGGTGCACCCTGGGCCCTTGGCTTCACACCCCTGCAGGCAGCCTGGGTCCCTGGTGGGACGTGTCCTGCGGGGGAGCTCACGGCGCCGACTCCCAGACGTAGTCCACGCTCGTGAGCGCCGTTAGGCTGCACTGTCGGCCCTTGGGCGGGAAGGGACCGTCAAAGTCTCCCGCCTGTTTTTGGTATGGGAGTCCCTCGTGCAGCACCCGTGTGTGGTCCCTGTGCTCCAGCCCCACTTCCCCGGGGACACAGCGCTCGCTCCCGTCAGTTCTGTTGGTCAGCCGCCCTGCTCTGTGGACCTGCGACTTGTCCCCTGGGAGTTGTGGTCGTAGCTCCCTGCCCCACCACTCATCCCCGCCGGGTGCCGCAGCAGGACCTTCCTGTGTGCGTCCGTCTGGCCAGCGTCTGTCTGTTCCCACTTTATGCCAGGCCCTGAGCCAGGTGTGAGCTGAGGTCGGTGTCGACAGCCTGGCAGGGCCCCCGTTTTGTAGCGGTTTCTGCCGCAGGTCTGAGTCCTGTCCCTGCCGGTGGGTCCTACTGTCTAGGCAAGTGGAAAGAAAGAAAAACACACTTCACAGAACATGTGCCATGCTTCCCTCGGGGGGTCCCGTCCCCTGGGAGCCGAGGCTGGGAGTGTGGACAGTGAGGTCTCCGGGGAGCAAGGGAGGGCAGGGGAGGTGGGACCGCTGGGACTGGCCTGGCTCTGGCCAGCCTGGAGCCTGACAGTGAGGCCCATACTGTTGGCGGGCGCTGGGTGCCTTGTCTGCATTGGAGGGACACTGCCCCCTGGTGGCCAGAAGCAGAGTTGCAGTGTGGTGGAGCAGCTCTAGAAAGTGAGGATTCCCAGTCCTGGCTCCTGGCTCGGGGCTTGCTGGGCTCCTGTGCAGGCTCCAGAGGTGGTGCGGGCTGGGCAGCGGCAGGACTCCCTGGCAGCAGAGCTGTGGCGGGTTCAGTCTAGCTGGCTGTTCTTTCTTGCGTCGAAGGGATCATATTCTGGGGTAGAACAGGGGAGCTAGGCTCCTGGCGGCATCCCCTGAGGTGTGTGGCTGTGGTCGGCGTGTCACCCCCCATGTGACCCACCTGCCCTGCGGCTCGGTGCCCCCCACTCGGTGCCTTGAGGGCTGGCCACCATGGCAGGGTGGAGGGCAGAGGAAGGAGCTATGAAAACGCCAGGCCCTGGACGTGGCGGGCACCAGCAGCCCTCCTGGCACGGCCACTGACCCCCCTCTGCTCCCCAGGACCTGGCCATGTATATCAACGAGGTGAAACGGGACAAGGAGACCTTGAAGAAGATCAGCGAGTTCCAGAGTTCGATCGAGAACCTGGTAAGTGTGAGAACCCCGCCTCGACCGCAGAGGCTGACCAGGACCTGCGTCAGGCCCCGGGCTGAGCGCGCGGGAGGCTGTGCACACTGTCCCCACACTGTCCGCGCTGCGAGCCCAGGCTGCCTGGCGAGAGAGTGGTACCCTGCAGCCCCCGAGTCTGGGTGCAAGTCCTGGTGACTGAGCTCCTGTGCCCGCCCCAGCCGACCCTGCCCCGGCCAA